TTGCTGTGAGCTAGGCTGACGCCACGGCACTCTAGCCCAGGCAACACAGTGAGACTCTGTTTCAAAAAAAAAAAATTAAGATTCAATCCCATAGATTACAAATGTTGGGGGCAATTTGTCTAGATATAGAAGAAAAGAAGCACATGAAGTAGGCGAGAACTAACACTTTAGAAATTTTTACTATATGGCAGGCAATTTATACATATCATATTATTATATCACAATTCAATAAAAATGATTATTTCCATTTATAGCTATAAAAATTTAGTTAGACAAATAATTTCCCAATACACACTAGTATAGAAATTTACCCATGTCCATCAGATCATAAATCTCACCCTCTTAACAATATTCTACACTATTAAGTAGAGAGGAGGATGGGCTCTGCGTGCTTCTGGGTCTGGTCTTGTCCATGAAACACGTTCTCCCACAGAAAGACGTTGCACAGAAGGCAGTTCCAAGGTGATTTTATCTAGGTGACTGATCCGGCTTGTTGAGCCCTTCCGCTTCACATGTATGTGAAGCAAATACATTTTACGAGTTGACTAGAGACACGGCAGCAAAATGGTTAACCATTTTTTTAACCCTAAACTCCATTCTGAGTTCTAAACTCTCCTCTAGATAACATTTAGAGTAGTATCTAATTCTTGAACTTATAATTAACTATAATTAAACAATATGTTGAGTAGATACTGATCTCTCGTACATTTTTGCCACGTAATAAAACTAAATATAAACATGAAAATGAACAGAAATTATTGAATTGTGCACCACATGAAGCATATATATGCTAACATGAGCACACAGAAATGCCTGTCAGTGCTATGTGTGTGCTACTTGTGAATTATTAATTAGTACTCCTTTATAAGAACTCAGTATTTAAGATTATTGCATTTTAGACGTACAGGGAATTTGAAATTGTTAGTCCACCTTACTTCATTTTTGTGATATAGAAATAAGCCTGGAATGATTGAAGCCCTTCATAGATGAAAAAAATCAAATGATAATAATTTAGTATGTAGATCAAAGTTAAGTTAAATTTCATACAACCAGAAAATGAAAGTCAATACAGGAGATCTTAGAACTTAGAAATACCAACAAGTTATGGTGTCTTTTGCCATTGTGTTCTGCAAGGCAGTTTGGCCTTGTATTTAAAAGATAAAAGATCAAATTATTCTTCAGAACAATAACATCCCGTAGATTACTAACAAATGTTTTAGGTCTCTGTAAGAAAACACTATGTTCTCTAGAGTTCATGAAAATTATAAGCTTAGCTTTACTTCTAAAAAAGTAATTCTGAAAACTCTCATAAATTGTGATGAGAAAAAGTTGATTAAGAATGTTCAAAGTCTTGATTGGTAAAAATATGGACAAGTTGTAACATATATGAACCTCAATGAACAAATGTACAATAACAAAATTTTATAGAGCAATTTATTTTTACAAGCCACGTGAGGAATAGCCAAATAATGTCAAAATCGTGATTAGACAACCAGCAATGAAATTTGAGACTATTGTCATGACAAATCCTGTTTCAGACCTTGTTGACTTAGATTTACTTGCACAACCAGAGTTTGCCAAAACAGGAAATAGATGTCTTATATACAGAGGACTCTAACTTCTCTCGCTACCATTCTTCTTCCAGCAGGTAAAACAAATACTTCAACCTGCTCTGAGAACCACAGGTAAGTGATAACTGTTTTATTTCAAGGTGAATATTTTATTATGCCAATACATTTATTTTTTGTCGGTAATAAGATGGTATATTTAGTAAACTTATCTATGATTTTTCAAAACTCTGTTGATAACTTTTATTAAGAGTAATTAAGTTAATACATTCTTTTTTTGAGCTAAGCAGCTAATACATAAATAGCTTTATTATTTCTAAAGCATTTTTATCCTGTTGATATTTAAATGAACTTTTAACCTTTCATTCTAAAGTAGTTAATATAATTACTTCCCATGTCAAAGACATTTAGAAACAATTATACTAGAGCTACCTTTAATAGAAAAACAATAAACTATGGCTATAGGTACGTGTATACTTCCATATCAGTAACTTGTACTAATATTAACATAAATGGCTGTGTGTCAACACAGACATTATTAAAGATGGGAAATCATTAATAGTTTTAAATTGGTCAAAACAAAATTATAGCACTTACCTTGGGATAAAAAATATTTTATAAGGTCATCAACACAAAACACAATTTACCCCATGAAATGCACTCAAGTCAAAAAGAAAAAGCAAATAATTTTAGAGGTTTTCTAATTAAAAGTAAATCTGCTTGGGGAGCCACATTTATGCAGGTAATTGAAATATAATGTCTATTTGTGTATATTTTTCTAAGGAAGCAATTTTCACATAGAATCTTGTATTCTTTGGCAAATAAGAGGTGCTTCTACAGAATCAGATATTAGGAGATCACACAGTACCTAATGACAACATGAAAGGAGTTGTTTACCGCTAGAGGGAAGATTTTACTTTCAAAAAGTGTTTTATTAAGGCTTGTCTTCCTTATGGCTAAATGCCGTCCAGGAAGCCCTGGGAGTACTTACACCACTGCCAGAGAAGATCCGGCGTTGCCTCTTCTGTTAGTTAAAACCAAAACCTAGAATGTTTGCCTGTATGACTAAACCTCTGAAGGAGGATCAAAAGAAATTAAATTGATAACAAGTTTCAAGCCCGGGAGCTACCCTATTCATCATGAGGTAAATCAAAGTTCCTGAATTGAACTCAGATTTTATAAGAGGCAGAAATAAATTGGGAGGAAGAGTGTCAGAATTCTCAAGTAATATATATATCAGATATGTTAAGAATTTCAGTGATGTTTTTAAGTAAATTCAAGTAAGGGGGAAGGAATTCATCATCGGAAAGAAAAGACAATTGCTTTTCAGGAACAGGCAAGGCAGCTGCTTTTATTTAGGTATCTTTACAGATTTCTTGTATGATGAAGTCTAGCAGTTTTGCAAATCATCTTTGCATGTTGGCATAGGCTGCTTTCTGTCTCACAGATACGTGGTGAGATGAAAGTGATCAAAATGACGTTTAAATATTACATTTAAAATTAGAAAATATTTCATCAGATACTTTTCTGTGTTGTGAATGGTATATAAATGTGTCTATACCTATAACCTATAGTGCACACATTACACACAGGTGTAATGCTTTTTTTTTTTTTTTTTTTT